AACGGTGTAAAAAAATATACAGGGTTCCATAAAATTCCTTGACTTGGGTCCATTTCCAAAGTAACCGGAAGTAATATTCAATTGTTTTTATATGAAAAGTGTGCGTCTCAATGACTTACCCGTTCAACCCGATTTTCAAATTTTCAAATTTAAAGACAACTGAATGACGCCTTGTATAACGATTTCGTTGTCACCTGGTATATCTGTATTAAGGGCGTTTAGCTTATATTAACGTAACATAACATAGTATAGTAATAAGGTATCCAATTTCTAATTTTCTTATAAATGTATTCTACGATAAAAGTATCGTAAAACTGATACAGTGAGATAAACTTTATAATAATATTGTTATTTAAGCAATTTTTCTGAAGGCTATATAACAATAGTATTTTATAAGGGTTTTAATATTATCGCAATTTCTTCAGATACTTATACCGCCACCCACGCCACCTAGCACCAGGATCTGAAAAATATACATGATTCAGGCGATGCGACGTTTTCAAACTGAATATATTATCTTCAAGTATCCATATTTATTTGAAATTCAATAAAAATTATTAAGGGTTGATTATGATCGAATTCCCTAGACAAATACGCAAACACATGAACCGTTACAAGTTACTGTCTATATTAGGTAGGTACTGTAACCCTGCTGGTAAACCACAGTGAACTAAAAATTAAAATACAGAGAAGGTTTAATCTATATACATACCTATTTAATATAATTCAATTAAAAACTTGTTGGAATTGTTATTATATCAAGAAAGAAAAAATTACTTTCAACATTGGCCAAAATGCCTCTACAAGACGCCACGCCTTAGCATATCCGACAATATCCCATAAAACTCATGGCCAGAGAAGTCTAAAGTATTATTCGCCAAGATTGTATAATATGCTTCCAAATGACATAAAATTAATAGAAAGCTGCAAATCTTTTAAGGTAAAAGCTAAAAACTGGATATTTTTGAAAGGTAGACAGGCTTTTAATAATTTAATTGACCTGAAATACATAAGATAAACGCTTTTTGTTTCAAATAAAGCTTTCAATAAAAAAAAAAATTATAATAAAAAAAAAAAAAAAAAATACTCGAAATCGACTTAAACCCTTGCTGTAACTTGTATACCCTATTAAGACTTTGAAAAACCGAATTAAATAACTTGAAAACGGATGCAGATATCGGATTGCGGTTTGCGCCAAAATGTAGATAATTTTTTGCTCTTTACGCAGAGTTATAAAAAAATATATCATGCCATTTGGATTTTTCCAGAAAATTAGAAAAAACTGGATCTTGGTTAAACAGCGCCCTCTAGAAGACGCGGTGGGAACTATCGACCCCGAACGAAGTGGTGCTCTTAATAACAATGAAATTCTCTTTCGAATAAGCCCAAATTGAATTTTGGATAAGGGGTATGGAAGATAAAGCAATTTTTAAAACTATTTTTTCACCAGCTTCCCCCACCCTTATTAGTGAAGATACGAAAAAAAGCTAATAAGCAAACTGGCGCAAAAATTAACGAACTTTTGATTTCTGTTGTTAAAACAGTACCTTAATATAGCGATTTTTCGAGAAAATTTGAATTTTTACTTATATCATCGTGATTGCGCCCCCTAGCGGCCATCTTAGAATCTTGAAAATATTTTCCATCAATTTCTCTTGGCCGATTTAGTGAAAAAAAAATAATCCCGATGCCGTAAGGCCTATGGTTTCCATAATAACGTACCTCGTCGACCTTAGTGGGACACCCTGTATAATAAGATGTTTCATAGTATATGATCCTAATAAGCACATTTGTGCTACTTGGGTAAACTGACATTTCTCCATGTGAAAATGTCATTTTAGGGAGTACTTATCGTTAAGGCTCCCCTAAAATTGTTGGTGGAAACGGCCATAAGGAGCGCGTTCAGGATTGAACCGTTTGGACGAAGTCCGTTGCAGAGCGTTACCCGATAGAGGATGCACTCCGAGTGTGCGCGTCGGTCTAAAATGCTGTCCGGTTTTTTTTTTACATGTGTTGAAAAATAAATGGTTTGGATTTTGGAACAAGCCATAGCAAGTTATTTTTTTCATATTTGAAGAATGACTAATGTTGAAGACGATTTATTTTCGGACAAGGCGGATGTGCTAGTGATTGCTAACAATTTAGTAGCACAAACCAAACAAAAGAAAAAGAGGCCACCTTTTTTTAAATAGAGTAGATTAGTGATGATGCCTGTGGGTTCTTTAAGTTCATAATAAAAAAAAATCCATAAAATAGTTATTTATGTCATTACGCAGGCGAAGAAGTGGGTCTTTTTGTGGCATGCAACCTTTTTTCTTCAAGCGTGATAAATGTCACTCCTGGCTATAACTCACTAGTTGTATTCCTTTCACACCTAGGAGGAGCTCCGGAACAGCTCCGGGGCGTTACGTGCTTAAGCTTAATTCTCACTTGCGCGAAATTCGCTCTTTTTTGACATTGCTCCGAAAATTTGACGTTTAATACGTAAAACGTCAACTTGTCGAAGCAATGTCAAAAAAAGAGCGAATTTCGCGCAAAAAGAGCGAATTTCCTTTCGAGAAGTATTTGTTGCACCTGAAGTGCTCAGGCCCGAATCAAACCATTTATTTTTATACACGAAAGGCAGCGCATCTGCTCCTTTTAGACCGGGGTCGACGGGGTTCCTTTCTAAAGCCTAGTACTCATAACTGCGAAATTCTCTTTTTTTGACATTCCTTCGACAATTTGACGTTTGATACACGCGTAAAACGTCAAATTCTCAAAGCAATGTCAAAAAAGTGCGAATTTCGCTGTTATGAGTACTAGGCTTATAGCACAGTTTATCTAATAGCGATTTCCATTTGTAGAATCAGTGCAACGAAAATGTATCCCTATCCTATTTGAAATGCTTTTAGAAAAAGATGCGGATACACTCAGTGCATCTGATTGACAAACTGAAATCCGCCTAGCCGCTCGCCCCGGGCCATGTGCCATTCCCCGACTATTTGATGACCTCCAGTGATTTTCGAAATTCGTCGAACATTAAGTATTTCAGGTCAGAGATTAAAAACACCGTACCTACCTATTTTATTGGATATGAAATTGTTAGGTACATGTATTTGTAATTGTGATAATTTGGGATAGATTCCTATAAAATCCTAATGTAGAGTGACAACTCTTGTATTGGCTTGTATATTTCTTTTCTTAAGTTTTAAACTGAACGCTTACGAATATTTTATGAATTAGTCACTATATGTGATTATTTAATTTTTTTTGGCAAAAAAACACAAATAAAATGTGTTTGAATCCTTAATTGAAATTTATTATTTCAAAATAATATTAATTTGCCTGTTATCAGCAGCCAAATGCAACTCTTTCCAATCAGACCTGATTAAACAATATACATCAGGCCGCTGCGGTTTGAGTGGCAGGTGGATGACGACTTAATCAAGGAAATAAATAAAATGTCAAAAAAATCTTTTTTGCACCAATGATTTTACAAATTGATGAAAATTACAAATGGCCTTCCGTTAATAAAATCAATGGAGGTATATTTATTGAATTAAGGGCGAATTTTCACAGAGCAATGGTAATAATACAAAATCTTTGCACTTGTGGTTTAACGTTCTTGGGAACTATCCTCTTTGTTACATACCCCCAGTGTGAGCCAGCGAGCCATCGCGAGCCATCCTTGGGCAGAACGGCGATCACACACCTGCCGCCTGCCGCTTATAGGTACGTGTCGATTTGCCAGAGTCTCATGCATCCGTTTTCCGATCGTCGGATGGTACGACGGCGCTCCTATTGGCTGAAAAATTTCCCGCCACTTTTTATCCGAATATTTTCAACTTTTTTCCGACGTGGGGCAAAGTTAAAATAATTTTAACTTTTTCCGTTTTGAATCATTTTTAACTGATTGGTGAATAGTGAAAGGCAAAGCTAAACAAAACAATAAACTGAGCAATAAACCAATTCTAAATTTGCGTTTTAAGCTTAAACTTGTCGATAATGGATCTTCAGACTCAAATAAAGCGTCTTTACTTTTGTCGCTTTTGTGGAGAATAAATAAAAATAAAAGTAAAAACAGAAAGAAAAAAAAAATCATGTGCAGCGCCGTACACGTGGTAGAAATGAAACTTCTTTGAAACTATACCCCCTCATACAACTTTTAGACTTAGCGTATGAGTCGGGGTAAGAAAACGCGCATCTATAGTGACGTCACAAGGGTATCGGCGCTTGACAATAATAGCTCATCAAAAAACTCAAGGTGCTTTCCACAACTTGTTACAAGAACTGAGAGAATGAGACTGACGGTCGACGGATTAGGAGAAGTATATTATTACTACCGATTCCAATATCCAGCAATACATTCCAAAATATGCTACTAAAAAAATCATAGCTAACTGTCAAAGATTTTCAACAAAGCAGCTTTGGGAGCTTTTTCGGAACTGATTTTCGAATGAATGAGACTTGGATTTTATTTTCATCCGCGAAATTCAATTTTTTTTGGATATCGGATCGACGGAAAGCGGACGCATGAGACTCCAGCTTAGCCGATCGCAACAGGAATTTTCTGCATTCGACTTTTTCTATTTTGTGGCTTAAGAAGTGAAAAAATAAAATGAAAAAATCTGGTTGTCGAGACACAAGTGAGGAAAGCGAACAGCTGGCGGCACGGTACCATGTGCTCATTTGGAAGCCATAATTAGATAGTCTGCTAATGATGAGACAGGTGATTTTCGGCCAGACACACATCAGCGATCAGCATATATTGGTTAACAACTGACGGCTTATTAGAGCGTTTTTTTTTTACCAGAAAAAATATACGAGAGAAGTGTGCAAATTCCGGCATGTAATTTGGTAACTCATTCCAGGCAGACACTAAGACTATTGTGTGCCATAATTAATGTTGATATGTAAATCGTTGACATCAAATGCTCTTAAGCCAGAATTTATATTAAATATATCTCATATAGATAACCTTCAACCCCGATTGCCTTAAAGATTTTATAAAACTAACCGGGCCCGTTACATTAGATAAATGTTATTTCAAAAACAATGTACCACTATTTACGAGGCATTTTCATTATTTTTCCGATCTTTGTTATTTTTAGTGTTTGCAGTCAGCCAAATGTAGAAGTATCCAATTCTACTATTATAACAACGCGAAATGTCAGTGCGTTTCAAGGAAGAAGTAATGTGTAGTTTTATTGTTTTTTTTTTTTTTTTAATTAATGCCTGTTCCATTTCTATGATTATTTTAATATTCTCAGTCCTATTTCCTGATAGTTTTTATTTATTTGAATTACCATCATTTTAGTCATCGTGAAAGAAATCATTCGACCCCATAACTTATTTATTGGCAGATGCACTCAGAAATATCCAATACTACATCAGGAGAATATCGTGTTGAATAATGATGGAAAAAGCCAAGTATCGGCTAATATACGGGTATGTTATTCATATTTTTCATTTCAATAGGTATCTGAAAGTGCAATTATGTGTAGGTAGTCTGCGCTACTGTTGGCATAGTAAAAGAAAACAGTAATTATCGTTACTTCTTAGATTATGCAAGCTTGGGGATGAGAATAGGACAAGAACTACCTCGACTACCTACCATAAAGCGACGCTCCTCCCAAACTAATAAAAATATTTGAACTAATGAAAATACTTATAGTAGGGTTCAAAGCTGCTTCTATCGTGTCATCCCGTTTGCACTTTATTGCTAAAATGTAAGGACCACTTTTCATCATTTCTGATACCCTAACAATGCAAAATCAACATGTCGTCCAAAAATCGTACGGTCCAGGAAGTGGTGGGGGTGGAAAATGGCCAAAATCCTAATCCGATGGATAGTTTTTTTTTTAAATTAGCAAATTGTGAAGTCATGTCGCGAATACCGCTGCCACCAGCGAAGCTGTGAAGAAGGGTTATATTTGCGTGGGCCGGCAGGCAATAAACGACTTAGTGGTTCCGAGGTGCGCTTAGGACTATTTTCGCTTGCAGTCCTCTTCTGCTGCGATTATAGAGTATAAATTAAGGAATCTTGAATGCGTATTATGTTATAATATTATTAAGATCAAAAACTAAACTACTTTAAAACCTATTGGCCTTTTATAGATCAGTTTTTTCCTAATAATTATGTGTATTTAGAGGGACTTTTGCACTCAATTAGCCATTTATTGTAGGAATCAATGTTGTCATGAAGCTTTCATACGTTAATATAATATAGGGGCTCGTATTGCTGTATTATTTTTTTTTTATCCTAAAACCCTATCAACGGTAGATTGCCCATATAGAGCCCACTCTCCATCGGAAATGCCTGAACTTGCCATAAATTGTCCAATGATTTTTAAAAAGTTCATAATAACATCTTATGATGACGGTTCAAACTGTATAATTATCTGAGACATATATGAGGTAACCAAGATAAATATCCATATAGGTTTGTATGTTGATACATGAAATTATGTTCAAAAAACTTGTGAAATCCTAACCAATGCAAAATTAACCAAGCCCTATTTTGATGTGTAACGTCATAACCGAGGTCATAACTAAGACTTTGATCTTCTTCTGTAATAATATTCCGATTTTCTCCTGCTACTCTATTAGACTTGGTATAGTATATTTTTTCAATTGAATGAAACTCATCGAGAATAGTAAATTTTAAATTATAGGTCAGAAATTTGAAGTTTCCAGGTTTGGTTTCATTTATTGGACTCTTTGAATTGCTGCCATTTGGGTTCCGTGAAATGTAGGTACTTTGTCTAAAGTTTCTTCCATCAATATTATCTGCAGTAAACTGAACAAATCTATTGGATACGATAATTGGCTAGGGATTGTTACATGAGTATTTTCTAAGTAAAGTTGAATTTCTTCTTGGGCAATGCTACTAAGTACTCTTGAGTATCAGTGTAAGATATCGAGTGACCACAAGCGTGAACTGCTTCAACAAGTTTTTTTGACCTGGTTTCCTGATGGACCAATAGTTCCAAACCTAAAGGGCCCAAAAGGGTATACTTTTTTCCAATTGAACATGCAAAAATGATATCTTGGCCAATATTGAGTACTTCAGATTCTTTTTTGTCATAACATGAGTCGCTTATTATTATGAGGAGACATCAAAAAATAATAATAATTATTTGGAATATACTTTTTGTAATCAATTACATACTATATTAAAATTTTTCAATTCGGCATTATTTTGCACTTCATTTATTTCCATTGTGAGATTTAGGCAAATCTTTATCAAAATTTCTAGTTCTGACGGACCAAGGGACAAATTGGGAATTTCAGTTTCAGTGTGCGCACTACTGTTTGAATCGCTTGCTCCTTAGAAAAATGTTTTAAAAAAATTCTTGGTTTGTTTTGCCTTGAAGTTTCTATTAATTCAATATCGTCGCCAAAATTATCTTCAACTTTTTTAACTAAAAGTAGGTCGCTTGAATCTACTTCTCGGCTAATTTTGCGAAATCTTTTACATACCTACTGATGTGGAATAACCTTCTCCTTTTTGGAAACCCTTCTCCAATTCACTAAATAACTTGTTCGCCTATTCTGGAGTGAGATATTTTTGGCAAAATACGCATTTTTGAACCTCGAATGGAATTATTGTTCGTAATGGCCGTTTTTGAGTTGAATTCGGCAGAAGAACACCAGGACCAATTTTCGAGTATTTTGCTTTGTAGGAAGTGATATTTTTGGAACAGGCATACGTTTTGTAGCAGTTTTTATGCGATTGAAAATTGTTCTTTAATGTCAACAAAGTTCAAAAAAATATGCATGGAAGTATATAGCATCCTTGCCTTTACATATAGGTATATCCATGCGGATTTTTGTAGATTGAATCAAGTTTTGCTCGGACATTTTGTTTTGACGTTAATAACATATAATTGAAAATTTGAAACTTTCCCCTTATTTTTTGCAGCTTCTTTCGTAAAGGATTTTTGATGGTCGACTATACTTCCGCTATCGGTACTGGTACTGCATTCGAGTAAATCTATAAAAAAGATTTAAATAAAAACATAACAATATTATCAAACTTTTTTACCCCAAAATTTATAATATATTTGTCAAAAGCCACACAAACTATTAGTGAAACACACAAAAAAGCAATCAGGGTTAAAAACTATTCAACTTCACCATAAACTTAAACCGAACTATCAATAATTGGTACTAAGACACTTTAAAATCCGGACATAGAAAAAAACATTACATTAAAACACTAAAACAATGTTTTTTTAGCGACCCTACATTCCATGTCGCGCGAAAACGATCCTAACCGCACCTCGGAACCACTAGGTCGTTTATTGCCTGCCGGCCCACGCAAATATAAACCTTCCTCGCAGCTTCGCTGACGACAGCGGTATTCACGACATGACGTCACAATTTGCTAATTTAAAAAAAAACTAACCATCGGATTAGAATTTAAAAAAACTAATGTATTCCCTGATCTTCAATGCATAACGTTTTATAGAGGACGATTTTTTTGATAAACCAAATGGTTTTCAACTAAGAACGAGGTGAACGATAACATAAAAATGAGTTTTCAGGACAAGCGTTTATTCGTTAAGGAACTCCATAAGAAAGCATTATGAAGGGTGTTTTGAAAATTAAAAAAAAAAATAGTTGCTAATGAAAATATTGAAATCTGATTTCGTCACTTTAATGGTCGTGTGTGTTAGATGTAAAAATCATAAAAAAAAATGTTGGGCATTTTTTGCAAAATCCACCCCCACCACTTCCTGGACCGTACGATTTTTGGACGACATGTTGATTTTGCATTGTTAGGGTATTAGAAATGATAAAAAGTAGTCCTTAAATTTTAGCAATAAAGTGCAAACGAAAATCTGTTTTAAGCGACTTCTGCGAGCATTGAAACTCTACTATTGTATTTGAAACTAATAAATAAAAGCCGGGGTGGTAGAAAAGTGCAAGAGTTTAAAAAATTAAAATATTCCAATATAAGGTTAGGTATATCAAAGATGATATTTCATGGTCGGATTGCAACACCTTTTACGAGTTGCGTTTGCAACACCGTAAAAAGTCTTCAAAAATGTCAGCCCAATAAAATTGTTGAGAAAAATTCAAAATCCAGTGTCTTAGCAGATTGTGTTGAAGATAAGAAAAAATAGGTAGACCAACCGGTAACGTAGCGTTAGCGGACTTATGTTTATTAGAAGTTTCATCAAAAAATAAACCAAAATAATCACTCCCTTCCGTTTGTACATGATATTCAGGAACACCCTGTACCTACCGCCTCTTGCCATTTTTTTTAGATTTTTAGAGCAAAATATGATACAAACTTTTGTTAAAAACATCCTCTATTCGAGTGTGTAACGAATTTATGATTTTAGATGAACGTAGAAGGACCAGTCTCCATAAAGTGTGTAAACGTTTACGATGAAGATCCGGAAATGTCGGCCTATCCAAGTTATTCATCTGGAGGTCTTGGTCAAAATTTTGTGCAATTTGACGTCTTGACATCATTTGGAAAAGGCTTCAAATTCTTTGTACAAATTTTTGGACATAAAACAACCGGTTAGGAATACCTATAGGTACTTATGTGAGTGATTTGAACTCCGCGAGGATTCCGTCGAAGGTCCAACAGAAAGCTAGCCACTAAATTAGAAATAGATAATTTTTCAAATTTTGACTGAAACTTAGGGGTAGGTATGGAATAGATTATAAAAAATATAATTTTGTGAACCATTTCGAAATCTGGAACATTGCTAGAAATTAAAATTAAAAAAAAAAAATTGGAAAAAAAATTGTGTCAAATATACAATTAACACACCTAGATAGAAGTTCCACATTTCTGAAATAATAATTGTTTGTACAAATTTATTTTTTCGGTGCTACCCTAAAGTGACATAACTTTGACGGTTTTCAACTTTACACTGCAATATTGCATTACTTGAAGGCGACAAAAATCAAACAAAAGTGCCAATATTGGGGCTGTACCTGATAGTATAGAGAGATGAAATAATATTTTTGGTTCCATCAACACAGACCCGTTTTTTTTTTAAATGTTGGTGGTCAAAGTTACGACCTGGGAAGGTAACTTTGACCACCAATCTAAAAACTGAAATAAACTAATGTTACAGCCTCACAGAGCAAGATTGACCAATAAAAATGTTTTAAAAAAATTTCTAAGGCTATAAAAATCATAAAAATCGAGTTGAAAATAAGAAAACTACAACATTTTAACTCATTTATTTATTCTTTCTCCAAAAGTCAAAGAGATATTAACAAAATGTTATTATCTAATCAACTTTAACTAAAATTCTAACGGAAATAACATACATTTTTTGTTTCTAATCAGTCAGTTGCATTATATCCGCTGAAATTGCATATTATCGTTCATAAATCTAATATTGCAAATAAAATAAACCCTTATTCTTTGGCGTGAAACAGAACACATTAAAAAAAAAAACCTCTACCTAACCTATCTAATTTCTACTTGTCAATTTCACTCTATTTCTAGAGGATTGAGAAGAAATTCTCCAAAAAATAACCCCTGTTTTCTATTAGAAGAATTCTTTAGTTTCATAACTATCTGCTCTGTTTCTATAATCGATTGATCCACTATCTTCGTTTGGCCAGAAAAAAATTAACTTTTTATTTCGTAAAAATGAAACATCAACTTCCGAATCATTTGAAATGACCCAATGACCGGTGGTCAAAGTTAGGAACGCAAAAAAAAAATAGGTTAGAAAATTTTGAAAAAATTCCCTGAACTTTAAATAAAGTGTTAACGCCAAATCTAACACATGCATTTGCGAACATACATAACAGGATACTCACCGTGAGTAATGATGACTCCTGATTATATTTTGTTTGCTCTCCACGAGGGAAAGTTTGCAAGTGACAATTTTCAACCAACTTTTGGTTCAAACGGTCAAAGTTTATTGTGCATCTGATTTTCAACTGAACATGCATTCCGCAACACAGTGCCAGTTATTAGACATTAGACTAACTGTTTGTAGGTAGAAATCGCCAGCAATATACATTTACAGTTTTTTAAGGTACATTATATCATTTAATGATCTTTTGGTCAATGTTAGGGGAACAGTCAAAGTTAGGGGAGTTTACGGTACCACTGACAAATTCCTATTAAATTAATAGTAAGTACAGGACCTATCCATCGTTTTATATGTATCAGTGGCGTAGCGAGGGGGGGGGGGGGGGGGGGGGCAGAGGGGGCCATGGCCCCGGGCGGCATACGAGAAAGGGCGGCAAATTTTAATCAAAAAGCTCTAAATCGCCATCATCTAAATAGGGAACTTGCAAGTGAAATAGAATTTTTCAAATTTGTTTTAAATTGGTAGTTTATACTGCACAATATTTATATGACAAGTTTTTATTCAACCGATACCGCCCTTGTTATACAAAAAATAATACCAAAACAATGCTTCCATGATGGCTACCTTTTTTGACGTCACGATTCTGTAAACAAGCCTGTCAATAGGGAACTTGCAAGGGGAATAAAATTTTCAAAAGCAGTCCTTCACAATATTCTTCATCCATTGCGACAATTTCCACAGAAAGCAAACTTTACCACACTGAAATAACACAAAAATAGCATTGCGTCAGCAGGAGTTTGTTTTCTGCGTTTGTTGTTTACGAAATCTTGACGTCACGAGCGCTGTCATATTGAAACCTCGCGTTTCCGCGACAAAGTTTTGATTTGAATTTCAATAATTTTTTTCTCATACAACGTATAAATTAAAATGGAAAAAAAGGAAACTAAGTATTATCTGATCAGCAGTTGAGAAATGAAAATTTCCTATTACAGTATAGATGCTTTATTTGACTTTTACTACTTTTCTTGACTAATACTTGGGGTCGTATTTTCGAATATTTTCGCCTACGAAATTTGATATGATTTCGAATGCTCTCCATTTAATTTATATTGCTGTCAGTCAAATTTCGTGTACGAAATGTACTCGAATGGTTTCGAAAATCGCACCCCTGTGCTAATACATAAAATGGAGGGGGCGGCACATTTCTGGTCGGCCCCGGGCGACGAAAGCTCACGCTACGCCACTGATATGTATATGGGGGTAACGTTCAACAAATTAGAGACAAGCTGAAATTTGGTAAGAGACTTTGTTTTAGGGTACTAAATATCCTCTGAAACCCCAGCGCCGCAGCGTTGAGCCCGTCACCCTAAAACCACCCCTTAAGTGGGGTGAAATCTACCTTTTTTTTAATTTTTCTTGATTAATTCAAAACTAAGCATTTTAGGAAAAAAATTCAAGAGAGAAAAATTGTAGAGAAGAAAATTTCCTATCAAATAGATATAGATCAGTTTTTTTCAGATGTTCAGTGGCGTAGATATTAGGTATTTAATTAAAGGGATTTTTCTAAAAACCCCACTTGTTTATTTTTAACCTTAAAACGGACATGTAGGTCCGTTTAAGAAGTGCCATTCATAACTTTGGTCATACCATACATCTCAAAAGTGACAGTTGTGGGTGACAGTAAAAAGTGACCGAGGATAAAAACTCGCGCAAAAGTTGAAAATATTTTTGATGTCGGTGTCTCAATAGCGAGTCACCTCCGGGTTGTAGTTACAATGCAGTACAAATTTTAAAAATTCCGCCTTGACAGTTTTCGGAAAAAAAAATTATTTTGGTTTTTGTCATCAAAAACAATGTGTTAGAAAGAGACCTTTATCATTTTCCTTACAGATATGAAGTCCTTTTCTAACACATTGTTTCTTATGATGAAAAAACGATATATTATTTTTTATCGGAAACTGTTAGAGAAAAACCTATCGAAATTTGTATCATTGAAATCAGCAAAAGCAGAGCTTTCTAATGAGCTAATAATATATGTGGGTATAGGGTGTCTTATTGAAAAAAATCGAACTTTGATCAATATTATCTGGAAATCGGGGCCAAATAGAAAAAAACTGAGACATCACTGGATTCTGTGTAAAAAAGTGCTTCTAAGGCATCAATCGCGGAAATCAATTATTTTCATAAACAAGTTATAAAGTTTTCACAGTATTGCTCAAAATCGAGAATCGCCCTCTAGCTGCTAAACGGTTGAAAATATCAAAATACAGTTTGCACTAATCAAGATCTCATGAAATTTGAGCCTCAGAGTGGGGGGAGCGGGGTTCATTTTTTTGTATCTCGCTCAGGAATTGACGTTTCATATTAAAACCGTCCAATTTCGGACACCCCGTTCATGCAAGCGAATGGGTCTTAGCTGCTCTATGGCATGTGGCCAATGCAATGGCATTATACTTGTATGACCTCAGAAAAAGTGGACGTAGAAGAAGACTCTTTTTAAGATAAATTTTCTTTTTTTTTTCCCATTTGCATAATAAACTTTCTGGCTTATTTTGTATCTCTAACAGTTTGCCGTTTACCCCCAAAACTACAATAACACTTTATGGTATTCCTATACATTATAATAAAAAGTGCCTTATTTATAGAAAATACTATGTGCATTCGCCCTGAAATGCTTGGTTTTAAAGTGTTATAAATGAATAAATGGGGTTTCTAGAAAAATCCTCTTAATTAAATACTTTCTGTCTACGCCACTGAACATTTTAAAAAAAAATGCTGCGCCTATTGGGTAGGAAATTTTCTTCTCTTCAATTTTGCTCTCCTGACATTTTTTCCTAAAATACTTAGTTTTGGAGTTATTAGGAAAAATGTAAAAAAGGGGTGGTTTTGGGGTGACGGGCTCAACGCTTCGGCGCTGGGGTTTAAGAGGGTATTTAGTACCCTAAAACACAGGCTCATACCAAATTTCAGCTCGTCTCAAATTTGTTGAACATCATCATGTATGGTCCCTGTACCATCTTGAAGAATCTTCTTTTTATTTCAACCTTATATTGGTATTTAAAAGGTTGAACATTGATTAGTTTTATTATAAACTTGGGTATTTTCTTCGTTTATTCTTTTTTAATTTTCGATGCTTTTGTACTTTTTGATAAACTGTTTTCTGATGATGGAATAATAAATGGATTCAGAAACGTATTAAGCTTCAAATTATTTTTAATTCGACCTGACTGGCTCCAGTGTCTCCTACTCCCAATAGAAATGTTCACATTGATTTTTGATAAAAACTGAATTCCGAAACATCAAAAGCTTTGACCTATTTTAAATTGAACTAATTTTTTTTAACATGGGTCACAACCTGAAAAAAACTCATTCAGATTCAATATTACATAATATGTGTGAATGTACAGCGAAAACAGGAACCGCGCAAACCATTACAGCCTGCCCAAAACCGCTCAGTTCAGTTCGCAGGTGCGATTGTTGCCAAATACCTTTTACTTCTCAGCGTCTTGAACAACAAAATGAGGAAAATCCTTTTCTCGACCATTGACACAGATCATAGGCCAAGCAATGAAGGAAGTTTACCTCAACATAATTAGAAGTTAATATTTTTTTGGGGGGAACGGTCCATTTTCATGTGCTAAATAACATATTAAGTTTGCGACCTTGTACTTCCATAGGGTTTTTAGTTAGGGGTGTTTTTAAGGAGTAATTTGCGGTTTATGGAGAACGCTGCTCACCAGGGATGGTCAAATAGCAAGCCAAAAATTCGAACAAAAAAGCATTGAAGAGTGCATCTCATTAGCAATAATGTGGTGTTTGAACAATTAAAATAGGATTCTGCATTCGGCCGCTGCTGCACCAAATACGCGCAAACAGGCGAAACGCTGATTCAGTGACCTTGAACAAAAACATGCTTCTATTCAAGACGCTGCAGAAAAAAAAAACTATAGAAGATAAAGGGGTGCTGTCGCGGAGTTTTCTATAGCAAAAAACTTCAGCTACAACAATCATTTGAAACTTCTTGCTATTGGACCATCCCTTTGAGCAACGTTCTCCATAAACCGCAAATCACCCCTAACTAAAAACCTAATATGTTATCTAGCATATTAGAATGGACCGATCCCCCCAAACAAATGTTAACTTTTAATTATGTTGAGGTAAACCCTCTTTTTAGATCCCCGTTTCTTGGACAATCAAGCTTTTATCGCCTTAATATCACCATCGCTCCTTTTTTTGTTATGTGGAAACTATAGAGACCGTCAAAAACCAAATTTTATTAACAGAATTCTATATTTAGTTATTTTTTTGGACATTTTCAGACAAAACTGGCGATACTACAAGAAAAATCTTTTAGTTTCAGATTTTAAGTAGGTACAGGGGTGTTGGGTATAAATTTACCACCCACTATAAAAAAAGCGTTGCAGCAAGCATGGACTCCTAAAGATCAACGGAAAATATTATTAAAATAGAATATAATAAATAAAAAACCAAATAAGATAGACCCAACAAACTATACCTATTTAGAATCAGGAAGAAAAGTTCAGAAAAAATTAAATTAAACAGGGTGTTTCATTCAAAATTTGAAACTTCATAATACACGCGCAGGACAATTGAATCACCATGTATTAATAAAACGACTAGGCATTAGATAGTCTTGCTTTAAAGGGGTGTGACCCAGAAATGAAACTTTAAGTGCAAAAAAATTTAGGGATAAGTATTTAAACCGCATCTTGCTACGATGGTCCGTTTTCGAGTTAGGGCGGTTTAAAGTTACAACTATGTGTTTGTGACGTCACACGGGATTATCAGGCTCACATTAACAGGTGCAAGAATTTTCCAAAACAAAAGACAATTATCTCACTAGAGCGAATTGCAACCACTCAAAATATAGGGTATGGTTCACTGACGACTGAACGAACAGAAGGCTGCGATTTCGGCGGTTGTGACTTCGCAAGTTCCTGCATAATGTATCTTCACAAGGAATTTTCTCGGAGACTATTTTGAATATAGGAATGCGGTTTTCACGAGAGATCTTAGATTTTTTTTCTTGATTCAAGTAGCTTTAGTCGTTTTTTAGGATCGAATCCCCTTTAATCAACTATCATATTGAACTTTTTCTATTACCTACTACAAAAGTGAACGGGTTGAGTGGGTGGTCAATTGATTACCAATAATCCTGTATTATATGATACATATTATAAAGACCTCAAAAACCACATTTTTCTAATAACAAAAATTTCTCAAAATTTTCTAACGAAAAACGGATCACGATAAAAAAATCATTGAGTTTGAGCACCCTCTAGAGACCATTGAAAAATATTTTTTTGAGTAAGTAGGTAACAAACTTCTATACCTAATTTATGTTTATCTCTGGAAAATTATGTCTGGAATCTGTTAGGTATGAATTCAAGCATTTAGTTTTTAAAATAAAGTATTCAGGCTCACTTATGGTTTTCGACCTGAAGTCAGCCGAAGCGTTTTTATTTTTTTTCTCTGAGGGTGTTTGATACATGAATAGAACGTTTCAATTGAGTAATAATCGTTCGGGTGATTTGGAACTTACAGAACCATGTAACTCTGAAAAATAAATGTTATTTTTTTTTTAATTTTAAAAAATACAAAGTTGGAAGAAACCATACATTTTTATTATGAACACAGGTAATATACAATGGTTAATTCTTAAAATACTCTTTAAAGGTATCAGACATTATCACATTCATTTTATCACATACACAATCATAAAAAATAAAAAACTAAGCAACAAATTAAAATGAAATAAGTGCATGCGAGATAATTAAAATAATAATACATAATAAGAAACACAATAAAGTTTGTACCAAAACATGATTAACTAATTCTAACATTTACTCCAAAAAACATTTATATAAAAATATATTTAATTTTATTACTACTTCATTTAGTAAGTTATTCATTATAGTTACACTACACTCTAGAGTGTAATTATTTTGTTTTTGCCTTTTAGGCTTGATGTTTACATTTAAAACATTATTAACAGAATTTCATATTTTCTTTAATTTTTTAGTGATAACAATGAATATACATATTTTATAAAAAAGAAATATATACACAACGTTTTAAGTAAATCAATTTTTGTTTTCAAAACCACATTATATCTCTTAACCAATAAAATTTTTGGACTTCATATTATCACCTAATGTAAGAGCCCACTATAGGTAAGTAAAATATTAAAGTAAAACTAATTATTTAAGTACATTCATATTTTTTTTGTTCCTAAAAAAATATCTAATGAAACACTTATTCTTAATGAAATTAGGAAATAAACATTGATATCCTGTGAAAAAAAAAATGTTTTAAAGAAGTAATATTTCCAGGGAAGGTGATTTTTTATGATAAAAAAATATATTCCCTTTACATACTAAAAAAAAAACAAAAATCTTATTGTCTACCTTTTTCGTATTAAAGACCTAATTTTAAAAAACAACAGTCTGACTGCCTGAATTCTTGATTACCTGGATTAAAAATTAATAAAAAGTACTTAAAATATAGGCGGTTTTGTAACAATATAACGTAATTATTAATATTTAAGTTCACTGTCGTCTGGAACATCACAAAATATTGTACTTGGAAAAAATAAAACTTAAGGGAAAATCATCACGGAGATGTATCACAGAACCGAGAAAAATAAACTGCAAACAAGCGACAACTCAAAATAATTACGCAAAATGATGCTAGTTGCTTAATTCTGCACTAACAATAGAGATACTAAGCCAAAAGGCAGTTTTCACGATCCACAGTCTACCCAATAGTACCTGGTACGATTGATAATACGCGATAATACCAAATTACACATAATCAACAATATTTAAGGGAGATTGTCAATTAAAAATTAATGTAATAATTTTAATAACAAATAAATTGGATGACTCTCAAAAATGTTTGAGATTTTACTTACTATGTAAAAAAATTTAAGAAAAAAAGGATTCGAAATGTATTCGTAGGGATTTATTCGGATTTAATTAAGTAGGTACTGGGAATCGCAAATAAAAAACTGCTAAAACGTCATCATCTAGATAGGAATTCAAAATATTTAGTCTTGTTCACGTCTGTCCGCAAAGCATTTTAATACAGGTTGTCGGAATAAGGGTACTGAGCGGCTGAATCTCGTCAAAGATAATAAGGCCTAGAGGTTTGGGAGAAAAATCCCTATGGATAGTGGGCAACAGAAATGGTAGGAAAGCATCAAGAAATTCGAAATTCGACCGCTAGGGGGCGTAAATACTATATAAAAAAAACATACATTTGACTTCAAAAATTAAAAACATCTTGGCAGCTTGGGTATCGGAGGCGGCCAATGCATTTTTCAGTGTTAACATCTTAATAGCTTATCAACCAATAATAATATTTTTGGTCTCGTTTGAAACAGCATTTAATGGCCTTTTAAAAGTAATTTTTTGTTGAACCCTTTAGCTTAAAATAAATTCTTCTAGGAGGCATAATTTGCAACAACTATACAATTTTGTGTTTATGGAACAGTACCTACTATTTTCTTGACAGATCCTTAGCTATCATAGAACTAGGTAAATTTATGTGAAAATCGCATCGCCATATTTCCATCCGTTCTCGATTTTTTTTATGTATTACATTGTCTAGTTACAGCCGCTCCGTAACCTTATCCGGACACCCTGTATAACAATATAAACTATTGTATTGTTCTTTCAAATTTGTGCACTAGCAAATTATTGAGACGCTATGCCAAAATTTTAGAACAAAAGATACATTACTTTTATTTTGACATACAGTATTGTCCAAAAGTGGAAGAACAAATAATGAAATTTGAAACAGAATCAAATTTTAGATGTGAAATATTTAAATAATTTTATGTTAAAATGTTAATAAATTCTCACCAAAATACCACAGACAAATTTAACATTAATTCTTTTCTCAGTCTTATCAGTTATAGATAAGAATTGCAAAGGTTGCTTTTTTGTATTGGACAAAAGTAGATGAACCAAATATTTTTAACAATCGTTAAGTTTTATTTGTTCTGCTTTTTTGAACAGTTGAATACCATCTCAGTTGTGAGTAGTGAATGCTTTTGAGGATAGTTTGAAGCAATCGGAAATCGCTAAGCAATCACGCCTTGGAAGATCAGCGAGACATTATATTTTAAAGAGTCCCAATTTGGTAGAAGCCATAAAACGATTTTTTTTTTT